AAGATGCATTATGTAAAGGTACAATTCCCAATGAGAAATGTAATTGTGTTGTATACCTACAATGTACCAATAAAAGAATTTAATATTAAAAAAAAACCAAAAAACTAAAACAGCCAGTCACTAATATATTCTCAAAATACAAACAGGACTGCAAAGTAAAATGGAAACACTCAAATATCAATAGACCAATAGCTTTAAATCCTTAACATCAAAATGAAGACTTAAGACATATTTTCCAGTAACTTTATATTTTAAATAAAACAAGGCCATATACCCTGTTTATCTTTAAAATAATTACTAAAATCTGACATAATTACATGTCTGACATACTACATGCTTTCAAACTCCTTTTTCTCCTTTGCTCCACTGTAAGTGAGCAGGCAGTAGAAGCAACCCATATAGTTGGCGTTTAAGCATAATGGAGGGAGGAAACTGAAAAAATCTGTTTCATGCAGCTGGAGTCCATATCTCTGTAAGCAACAATACAGGCAGACTAAGATATGAGAATGAAGAATGTAAAAGATCTCTTTCTCTTAGACAGTGAAATGACCTTATTGTCAGTATTTATCAAGGATGGGCATGCTAACTCCAAATATGCTTTAAACATGAAAAATATAAGACTATCTGATAATAGCACATATGATACTATCAGTGACTACAAAAATAAGTTTCTAGACCAGACATCATTTAGATTCATATATTACAACTGCCTACTTGACTTTGTGCTAGAATGGGTCACAAGCATATAAAGCTTATTGTGTCCAAAACTGAACTTATCATCATTTTCTCTGAAATGTTTTTCCAGTATTCCCCATGTACAGGAAGTGGAACTTCTAGGCAAATACCTAAACTTAGATCACAAAAAGTTACTTGTCATCCTTTCCACTCCTGACTCTATCATGCAATTTAACAACATATCATATCTATATCTCAAATATGTAAATCTTTTCCATTTCCCTAGAACTCAGTACTGCTATTCTAGCCTAAGTAATCATGAAGTTTGCCTGTACTATTGAAAAGGCCAATGGCTCTCCCTGCTTCCTTCCACTCCAAACAACTGCCACAGTGCAGCTGGGGTGGTGTTATAAAAGTGTAATATAAAAGTGTAAATCAGAATCACATTTACTTCCCTGCTAAAACTTTCACTAGCTTTCCTAGATAAGCTGGCTCTTTCCCATCTCTCTAAACTTTTATGTAAGTTCACCTTCCATTCATCATGCTCCATTTAAATTCTTTTTCTTTTCAAAGTTGCCAACACTTTCCTGGTTTGTGGACTTTTTATTTCCCACCTGCAGTGTTCATTCTTCCAGTTTTCTGCTTGGCTAAATCATACCCAATTCACATTTCCATTTAAAATATGCTTGTTTGCTTGGCTATTATCTAAGTTCAGTTCTACTAGCGGAACCACTGAGTAAGCCCACTGATGTTTACTTTATCCTCGGAATGACCTGACCACATAAACATTCAGTAAAGCACCTTTGAAAGAATGGATATTGTCACAACTTATAGTTCTCATATATTTATTCTTATCATTCCTTCTTGAATGTTTTATGATAATAAAATGTGAGATGTGATTTCATTTTTGTAAGAATCATTAAATGTAGGCATACAAGAGTTTTAACTGTCATATTCCTTGCACTATATATTTCTACACAGAGCATGTATGCATGCATGTATGTATGTGTACAGTACTGCTGTAATGATTTCAGTGTAATATTTATGTGACATTTTGCCATTAAAGAGGTAAAAATTCTAAAAGAAAATAAACTATTCACACTCCTTTCTTGCCTAGATAAAAAGCAATACAATACAAATTAATACAATAATATTCCACTTTATCCCATCACATTGCCAATGATTAAAAAAAAATTTAAAGTGTTGAGAATACATTGCACTTGTTATCCATACATAATAGTTTAATTAGATGGTAAAACCTATCAAACACTTGAAAAATGTTCACATGTCTGACACAGAAATTCTATTAAGAATATCTTTGCTTATAAATATATGCAAAGGTATTCATTTTAATATTATTTTTAAAATAAAAATGAAAACAATCCCTAAGGTATATGAAATGTTGGAATCTCATTTTCTCATTAAAATTATTTTAGTGAAATATTTCAAAATTTGGGAAATTACCAATGCTGGTTTAAATTTTAAAAAGTTACACAGCAGAAGAAACTATATTTCAATTTTGTCTGAGAAAGACTGTCTCTACAACAATGCTGGAGAGTAGATAATATTGGACATTTATGATCAAAGGATATTATTTCTTTTTATTTAGCATATTTGTTTTCTATATTTTTATAATGGACAATTTCTTTTATGATGAGAAAGTGTATTTTCGAAAACCAACATCACCACTCTAACATTCTGAACACTTGTTAACTATGGTTCAATCCCAGCAGCCATTACATTGGAGTTAAGTGCAACAGTGGTGACCATATCAGCCAAAGCTTTATTTCTAAGAGATTAACTTTTTGATTTTTCCTATACTGCATTGTGAAAACTTTCAAAGATTCATAGAGCAAAACAAATGTATGCTTTAACCATTTCCCCAGTATTACAAGTAAATACTAGAGATGTTTTTTCTATTGATATTTGTTCAGAGTATTTGGGTAAAGTCCTGAACCTAAAATGACTGTGCAAAAGACTGGACTCAGGCCTTGGGTATTTTTTCCAAATAAGAAAGCTGTTTCCCTCTCTCCTGCCTTCATGCCTTTCTCAAAATGGGACTTTGAGATTTTAAAAACTTTTACTGTAATGCAGGTTTTAGTGCATGTAGAGGATGTTGAAACAGCATCCCTGGCTTCCCCACTAGCTTCCACTTAAACCTTCTCAATTGCGACAATACCCTGCATGCCCAGCAAACACTGCCGAACATCCTGGGGGACAGAATCCAGTGGATAAGAACTCTTTTTAATAGTAATTCAATTCTCATTAACAACTCTCATTCAATCTAGTTTCTTTGCTTAACAGTGCTCAATAAAATCATTTACATTTGTGATCTCTATATGGGACGGGCACTGAGAGCTTTTAGTGAGGAATGTCTATTTCATCAGAAAATCCTCAATAGTGGTTTTTTTTTTGGTGGTGGGGGGCCATCTAACTTGGGTCCTTGCACTTGCCGGGCAGGCTGCAGAACCACTGAGCTAAATCCCTGGCCCGGTCAATAGTGTTTTACAAACAAAATCTTTCATGAAACAGACATGAAGTAACAATAAAATTTAATCATTTAAAGAATGTGCTGGTTTATCCAATTTTGATAGCGATAAATCTTTGTAACAGTCTGCCTCATATTTTCCATTTGCAACATTGCATATTCTTAAAAGTAAAATCTAGCAACATTAAAATGAAACACTCAAAAATAATCAAGCATATTGATCATTCATTAATTATGTAAGCACTTGTGTGTACATTTAAACTGAAACTAAAATGATATCTAGTTGCTATTCAGATAAAAATACAAAGTAAAGAGTACTCAAGTTCTAGTAACACATGAAATATATTCAAACTATGTTCTACTACAGATTGTTCTATAAATATTCTCATTCTCAAATGTTCTCCTGCAAATTCATTTTAAAATCCATATTAGTTACAAGTAAAATATTTATTTAAAAAATGGTATTTGGCTTTCTACCAGAGAAATAAAACAATGTTTCTATACCTGGTATTCCAGTTTGGCTACCAGAGGTCTTTGTTCCACTCTGAGATGCATTACTTTCAGGAGATAAAGTCTCTGCAGGATATGTTGTCCCTAAAGTCTCCAGTTCTCCTCGGTTTGAAGAAAACATCAAGCCCAAGGATGGAAGCTTTAGCATACATTCTACTCTTGACACTGGTAAACAGCTAAATTTGATCTGTGAGGGCTAAAAGGAATAGAAAGCCATTTTTAAGAATTTCATGACTAAAGCATTTCACAATGGACTCCAAAAGTTACATTTAATTTCCACTTTAGTCTACATACACCAAATTTGTTTACTCACTTGACACTTAAAAAGACTATGTTTAATATTATAGCTAGTTCAAACAGAAATATGATATATGCACCAAAATATAGTAACAAATTATTGTCATATTCAGAAAGTAAACATCTGAGAAGCCACCTACCTCTGAGCAATATTTACATTTAGATAATTTGAACAAAATCTTAACATTTTTATGCTCATTATAATACTTGTTCATAATCAAGTCTTTTAATGGAAGTAATCTCACATTAAATTATAAAAACATGGCTCTAAATGTAATCTCAATCCTCACCCATTACCTGTTTTCATCAGAGTTTCAAAAAGTTTGAACAAAACTGAAGGGTATCTAACTTTGATCGGACAAAAGATCTTTTGGCCAAATTAATATTGCAAAAAACAGCTGGAACAGATGATTATTAGCACTTTTACTTTTGAGATTGATCATTTAGTTGTAGACTGATCACTTTGAGGGTAATCTAAATCTTGAAGTTTGAATCCAAGTAGTTTTTAAATCTTCCTTAATAACTAGATTCAATCACATGCTAATATATAATCCAAAAGGCCTCATAGGACTGCATCATAGAATAAAATATTAAATAAAAACTAGGTAACTCTTAGCAGAGATTTTAACAGTTATTACTGTTACTTTATAAGTCAATTACACTTTATAGCTACACAGAAAGAAGCATAATGGTAAGACCTAAAGGTGCCATAATTAGGGAAAGGTGTTATATATATATTTTATTTTTGCCACAAAAGAATGAGATCTAAATTTTGAAAACCCAAGATGTATGAAACCTCTCAGAAGCAAAGTAAACACACACATAAAAGTTTACATATACTTCCCAGAGTTCAGGAAACCTTAAAAGCATTCTTAGATGCAGTAAAGGTCTATGCAACTGTGTCTAAGAAAATTTTAAAGGGAAATAACATTGAGATATTCAGACAAACTTAATAAAAAATATTCTTCTGTAAAAAGGAATATATGAAGTATATCACCTGAACTCGTACATAAACCACAACATCTACAGGGAAGGAAGAGTAAGCAGATGTTGAAGAAGATACTAATGATGTTGTTGATTCTTCCATAGGATCTGGTATGTCAAAATGTCCCATATCTTCATCTTGTGAGCTAACAGCTGTTAAAATATTAAGTTTTATTATTAGATCAAGGGCAAACTATTCATTAAAAGATCCTCATCTCATATTACTATTGAGATCAAAGGTATGAACAACCAGAAATACTTGCTTCTATAGCTCCTCATTCTATACATCTTTCCCAACTCAAAGATCTTGCTCATTCTCCCAATCTCAAATTCACCACTGCTAATCACTGAACAAAGAAATGATTATGCCCTTGCTGTCCAGAAATTCTAGTGTAAGATACACATTAATGTAAGACCTGAGATTGTGAACTTTGAAATTAACTAGTTGTAGACATAAGGAAATCATATAATCAATCTCATCAGGATTTAGTTTCCTCAACTGTAAAGTGAGGATCAGATGATCTCTCAGGTTCTTTTTCAGTTTTGAACTCTTTAATTTTATAATTGAATATACAATGGTACCTCAGTTCACAACTTGATTCTTTCCATGATTCTGGTTGCCAACCAAGTTGTGACCAGAATCAAATTCAGTGGTCAGGTTCAATGTTGACCTTATGGGGAAATTTGATTCATTTCTTACCCAATTCGGTTTGCAACCAGAATCATGGACAGAATTGAGAACATGAACCGAGGTACCACTGTATAATGATGTATAATAGCATTAAGACATTCTTGTGAGTAACACGATCCTAAAATACATGTGATGAGAAAGTAAATATATAAAGAAGATGCTTACCTGTATAATTCCTTTCAATTGGTGTAACTGGGATAGTTTCTAGAGCCTTTTCCAGAAAGTCTAAAAGGCAGGGGCTAATAACCATTTCTTCTGGCAATGACTGAAGTGCTACCCAGGCATATAACTTGGCTGTTTTTACTCCTCCACTTCCTTTTCCTTTGGCTAGAACATTTACAAATGTAGGATACATTTAATGGAATTTAATAAAAAGTTACAATAAAACATAAGACAATTTTGTGAGAAATTAGAATGACATGACAGATTAACCAGATGAAGCAGCTCATACTTAAGACTTAAAAGAATAAAAACAGGTTGCTAGAAATGATACATTAATGTTAGACAAAGATCACTGATGATGTATGATACAATGATGATTCTTACTTGCTCTAGATCACACATTTTGATTCAAATTAAACTGCTGAGTCTCTCATTGACATTGGTCCTTTAGTGCATTTAAGAAGATACAGAGAACCTTGACCAATATTTAGTGGCAAGTGAGGAAAATGGTATTGTTTTCAGGTTTTCCTGTACATATTTATAATTCTCTATATAAGATGCCATTTCTCTTTGTGTTGTTCCCAAGTAAATATTTCCACTTCAGTAAAATGAATAGAAATAGCCAACACAGATAAGTTTGGCTTAGGTTTCTAATTCAAACATTTATTAGTTGCTTGAATCTATGAAAGATGATGAAATTCTTTGAGTCTTACTTTCCTGATTTATAAAATAGAATAGCAGTATCTGCCATGCACTTAACGTGCCTTGTCACACTTGATCTTAGCCAAAAGGCCGAGAAGCGATTTAATGTGTCTTGTTGATTGAAAAGTGACATAAAAATATTATCACCATGATTCTTTGTTATCTCTTAAAAAGTTTAAATAGTAAGCTCTCTCAAGTGAAGATTCTCAAATAAATCTTGTCTGCATGATATTCCCTTTTATGGAAATTCTGTCATGTATGGAAGGTACCATTCATATTCTGGGTGGTAACCAGATTCTAAGATGGCTTCCAGTGATCGATCCTTGTTCCTGATATTCATTCTCCAGTTTCCTCCCTCAGTGACTTGTATGATCAGTAAGATATTTTATGAGGGATGGTATGTGACTTTTGAAGCTAACCTATAAAAGATACTGCAGGCTCAGCTATGTTCTGGTTTTGGATCATTCCTTTCAGGGAAATCAACTTCAATGTCAATGAAAACACTCATGTGTCCCAGTGGAAGGACTGACCTGTTTAGCGAACCATGTAACTGGGATATGATGGAAGGAGATTTTCTAGCCTTACCCAAGTATTCTGGTGACTCCAGACCTAACCAATATCTTGACTACAACCCCATGAAAGATCATGTGCTAGATTCACCAAGCGAAACTGCTCTTGCATTTTTGATCAATAGAAACTGTGTTTGAGCCACTAAGTTTTAGGTAATCTCCTATGCCACAATAATTAATAAGTGCAGTTAAGCTGAATCAAAGTACTCTGCTTTAAATGTATAAGTTTGATATTTCTATTTCATCACAGAACCTAAATTTGAATTACCTAATAAAACTACCCTTTTCTGTAGGGGACAGGGGAAGGGGACATTACCAGAACCTCTGCAGTGAGTCCTGGTCTCCTGCGAGCCACGGCAGCACACGGCGAATTACAGGAAAGGTAGAAAA